CCTGTCGAGCGCCACGCGAGCAACAATGAGCAAGTTGAGCATGTTGAGCATGTTGGGTTGGGCGTGTGTCGACAGGGCAGGTATCGACACGACCATGCAGGGAAGCGATGGAAGGGGGAAGGGGTGGGCACCTCACTGCAGGCGCCGTAAAAATGACCGCCCAATGGGTCACTAGGCTGACAGGTAGATACCCAGATACCTACCTGTGGTTGTGGTGCCTTGGGTGCCCAGTTGCCAGGTAGGCAGGTGGGGGAGCAAGCAAATTGTCGAGAGCCGCAAGCGAGGTTGTCTCCCGTCAAGTGGGGCCACTGCCATGCGGCGCGCGCAGGCCCTAGGCCCTTAGGCCCTGGGACTTTGGAGCTGCTGGTGGTGGTGCTGGCGCGCGCTGTCTGTAGCACCACCTAACGAGTCCTGTGCTAATGAGTCCTGGTGCTGACGGCCTCAGGTGGTCTTGCACCTCACCCGTCTCCACTCTGTTCTCGGGGTCTTCGATCGACCCGAACCCGGTATCAAGCCCGACTGTCGTACAAACCGAGTCGCGGGCGATGCTTGTTGCCATCCGATGATGGCATGCCGCCTGCGCACCATCTTTCGGGATCGCGACCATCTGCCTTTTTCTCGCCCCTCCGCCCCCCTTGAACCCACCATCCGCCGCACATGGCTCGCTCATCACCCACACACCCACCAACCCACCGCAACCCACCAAGCAGCAGAAAACCCACCAGACACAAGCGCCTGTCCCTGCGGCCTGCGGAACGCGAATTGTTCGCCAACGCCTAGGTGCCTGGGGGCGGGCCAAGACGCCGACCAACAAATCTCTGGACATTGGCCATGATCCTCCACGTGTAAGCTTATCAATATGCCATCTTCTGCGCCGCCGAACGGTTCTTGCAGAGGCCCGAAAACCACGTCAAACTCCGGCGCGCCCGAACGATGGTCCGTGGAGGGCGGGAGCGGAAAGACCATACACGCATGCTAGGTACACGTCGTCGGCTCACAAAAACTGGAGGTGGCTGAGACCGTTGCCAAAGAAGCAACGGTCTGGGTTGGCGACGACATGCCCACCCTCCTCTCTCTCTCTCAACCAACTTCATCTTCGTTTTTTTTTGTTTTTTGTTTTTTAGTTTTTCTGC